GGAAATGAGATTCTGTTTTGGGGAGCTAAGGGCTTGTCTTTTAAGGAGGCATAAGAAATTGGTTTGAGGTCCTGAGTAGGAGGTGAACAGAGCCTGCGTTTGGACAGCGTGCTTGAAAAGTAAAAAACCAGGAGAAGTTCCAATCTTTGCAGTTTGATTGAAATTTAGTATAAAAGAAGTCATATTTGAATATTTGTCTCTTCACATGGAAATTGCAAACAATTGCTATTACAAGTTCATGCTCAAAACTTATTTTTCAAGTTACGCTGCTTGGCACAAAGAAAAACTCTCCAAATTTCTCTGAAATGTTGAAAAAACATTCCATACTCTCCTACCGATTTTCTAAGTTATGTGGTGGGAGGCTTGTTTTTCTCTTATCTGTAAAATGCTCAGGGCAATATCAGTGCTATTTGTAAGTTAGATAGTAATTGATCTCTCTAAAAACTGAGAACTGTGAGAACTGTTATTTTGGTCCAATGTAGTGTTTAACAGCTATTTCCAGCAATGCAAAAGTGAGAATTGTTCAAAGCTTCTGACAAGTTTATTTTATCCAGTTAACTAGAAAATTTCATTACTGGGAGCAGGGCATGGAAATAAACCTAGAAATGACTCCTTTTCACACTGACTCATACCACTAAAGAAATGGTTGGTAAGAGCAAGAAAATTTTCATTGCTCAGAAGTAGGCCAGGTATAATGGTCTTTGCTGAAAAGAGCCAGCATAATGGTTGAGGAATAGATACAATAAAGGGTGCTGAAACACAGTTCTGGATGCCAGCTGCCAAATCTTCCAGTGTCTCAAACAACTAGGGAAGAGCAAAGAACTTCAGAAGTGTAGCTCAAAACAGAGAGCAGGGAACTATTTAAACGACATGCAGATTTACATGGATGCATCAAGAACTAAAAGTGGGAGAAGGCCTAAATTCTGCTGCTTGAAATCCCCAGATAATGACCTTTTTCATCAGCCCCAGACAGATGACAAGCTTTCCTTCATCTGTCTTTTGTATCACTTACATTCAAATTCTGCTTTATGGCCATTTCCATTCAAATAACCTGGAAAATGAGCATAATACCTTCATCCTGCCCATGAGCAACTGCATTTTTGCCTCTCAGAAACATATTTCTGTTGATCATTTAATTTACCATCCTGATCTTAAAATTCTATGGCTATTGTGGATTTGGTTTAGTTGCTTATGTAGGTACAGCATCATGTTCTCAAGAAGTGAGGCAGATTTCATAGCCCACTTCAGTACACCCTTCAGTCCCTACGGTGGGGTAGTAGAGAACATATTTTTTCCTTTTCTTTGCTTTTTCCTTCCACTCCTTCTCTGCTTCAAAGTATTTATTAGCTGGTTTGGATGCAGATGTAACAAAATAAAAAGAAATCTAGGAGAGAATATGAAACAGTGGTAGCTCATTGTTTTAACTTTTGTTATTCTAATATATCTTATTTTTATTTGCCATTTTAAACTATCACATTTCAACTAAAAGTCCTTACTATTACATATAACTTAACTTTGTTTTCAACATTTAATATATGAAGGGGAAAAAAACAAAAATGCCAGGGCCTCTTTCAAGATACTATTTGTCTTCTAGAATCTCCAATTTATCCATGCTAGAAGAGACACTCCTCTGCTGAAATAGCCCACTAACATTTTTCATAACAAATTTTTATAAAGTACAATAGGGCAAAATATTAGGTTTGGGCTTAATTTGTTCTTTTCAACAAAGGAAATAAAAACCAAAACCAAAACCAAACCTGGCTTCTTTTTCATTACAAGCCAGTCGAGACTTTTGTTGAAGTCCTTAAAAAAAAATAAGTAATCTTTGTTGTCACTGAGTCTTAAAAATTAAGTGGGATTATAATAATTAAAGCTGATTCTGATTTGTGAGGATTGTCTGAAAAATGTTTCAATATTCTGAAGATTTGGATGAAAACCTAAATTGCTGTTTTTCTTTTCCTTTAAAGAAGAGAATGGCAGGTTTTATAAAATCCCTTGGGAAAAAAAAAAAAAAAGAAAAAAATTCTTATCAAATATTTATAGGTAATATTGAGGTTTAAGCTTTCTGTTCATATAGGCCAGATTTCCACATTATTTCATTTTTTTGGGGGTGAACAGTGGCTTCAGCTGTCTCTATTAATGTTTAAGTAGTTTACGATCATATTAGTGTATATATAGCTGTTTGCTATTTTTCCCCTGCCAGTCTGCTTGTGGCTTCTGTAAGTCTTAAAGAATAATAGTATAGAGAGATGCAAGCAAGAATGCATTAAACTAGCAGTTTATCCGGAATTTATATGCATTAACTAAGCATTGGCAGCTTACTTTTACAAATAGAGACAATTTGTGAAAATACCAAAATCTTGCTATTCACTTACAGAACACCAGAAAAAATGAAGAGCCCTTGCAAGTTCCAGACACTTTTCAACACTACATATATTCCTCTGAAGGTCTCTTATTTTCCCAAAAGAGGAAATTCTGTAGAAATATGGTATCCTTAATAGTTAAAGATATGGTTAAGGGAGCCGAATCTTTATCCATATTCAATGCTCAGCCATGAAATTGTGTTACTTCCTTCTCTTTGAAATCAATTTACGACAAAAATATTGAAGCTGCCCCCTCGGTTTCTGTCCTAATCTGGAGAAAACCCCCTAAAGAATAAGTCTGCAGTACGGGGGAGACTTTTTGTCTACGGGGTTTATTATAATTTAGAAGGAAAAACAAAAGTTTGCCATTCCCGGGGTCTCTCTGGCTTCACAACGCGGGGTTAAACACATATTTTCTCTCTCATCTGGGGTCCCAAGAGCAAGAAATTCCCCGGAATGAAAGTCCACCCTCTTCTTTTCACCGCCCGAAGAAACTGGGGTGATTTCGTAGCACGCAGTTTACAAAAAATATGAATTTATAACTCCAAAGAAACACAGACTCGGCGGACTAAAAGCTCTTCCTGGCTCACAGTTAGGCGGGCTCTGCAAAGCACCAATCACAGATCACCGCTTCGCTATAAATTCAGGCATCGGGGTTACTGTAGCCCAATTACTTTCTTTTGATTAGGAAGAAGTCTCTGCAGCGATGTCGGAGACTGCTCCCGCCGCCGCTCCCGCTGTCGCTGCCCCGGCCGCCAAAGCGGCCGCCAAGAAGCCGAAGAAGGCGGCGGGCGGCTCCAAAGCCCGGAAGCCCGCGGGCCCTAGCGTCACAGAGCTGATCACCAAGGCCGTGTCCGCCTCCAAGGAGCGCAAGGGGCTCTCCCTCGCCGCGCTCAAGAAGGCGCTGGCCGCCGGCGGCTACGATGTGGAGAAGAACAACAGCCGGATCAAATTGGGGCTCAAGAGCCTCGTCGGCAAAGGCACTCTGGTGCAGACCAAGGGCACCGGTGCCTCCGGCTCTTTCCGCCTCAGCAAGAAGCCGGGAGAGGTGAAAGAAAAAGCTCCCAAAAAGAGGACGGCTGCAGCCAAGCCCAAGAAGCCAGCGGCCAAGAAGCCTGCTAGCTCTGCCAAGAAGCCCAAGAAGGCTGCGGCAGTGAAGAAGAGCCCCAAGAAAGTGAAGAAGCCGGCCGCTGCCGCGGCCAAGAAAACAGCCAAGAGCCCCAAAAAGGCGACTAAGGCTGCCAAGCCCAAGAAGGCGGCGACAGCAGCAAAGAGTCCAGCCAAGGCAAAGGCGGTGAAGCCCAAAGCAGCTAAGCCCAGGGCAGCCAAGCCGAAAGCAGCCAAGGCAAAGAAGGCGGCGCCCAAGAAGTGAAGTGCTGAAGTGGAAATACTGAAACCCAACGGCTCTTTTAAGAGCCACCCACTATTGTCCCGAAAAGGGCTGATGCACTCCTTCGCCGAGGTCCGTGCCTGCAGCAGAGGTAACCACGCCACTATCCGTGTGGGACGTTCGTCTGTGGATTGGATGGGACGCTAAACTTCCGGCCGTGGTTACGCTAAGACTTGGAAAAATAAAATTTGTATTTCCTGCGAAAACGCTTTCTAAAGGCTGACTTGTTTTTGAGCACCGCAAGAGGGTTAAAGGGACTGCTTAGGGCGGGTGTTGCTCCGGGTCGTGGAGTTTTGTTTCGGCGATTTTAACCAGCGCGGTTACTAACAGCCTGGGCGCGACGGCCACACCTCTTAGTAGCCGTACCCGGGAACTGTCAGCGCAGCTCTTCCGCTTCCTTCGCAATAGACCTATCCGCTCGGCAGCGCTGTCGTGAATTTCTGCAGGTCTGAATTTCTGCGTGACTTCCCCAACCTGCTTTTCGAGATGGAGACTGCCGGGGAGGAGGCGGGGGGGGGGAGCGTGGGGCGGGGGTGCGAGTAGAGCTATCAGCGGTCCTCTTCTGCACCCTGCTGGCCTAGTGGTTGTGTAGTCGGAGCGGCAGGAGCTCTTCCTGACCGCTGTGCTCAGCCGCTGCGGGCAGGGCGCTTTGCCGGCTGTGCTCCTGCGGCATCGTGGCTCCTCCTGTGTCCGGTTCTGATTGGCTGATGGGAGAATCCGCTTTCGCTTATTGGGTAATTAGGTAATTTAGAAAAGCCCGCGCTGGTTCTGCTCTTGGCGTTATGAGCTAGTTTTCCAAGCGCATCTACCCCGTCTGAAAGGTATCTTCGCATCTCCTAGTCTTCTTTTGTCTTCCGATCTACAAGGCTACTTTCTGTCTTGTCCTGGACCATCTGTCTAGTGACAACTGTGCAAAAATGGCGCATTTTTCTTGTCCTATTTTTGGGGTGCCCGTGCGTTAACTTACCAAGTGCAAGCTATATGAAAATCTTTTTCATTTATGATGGAATGTATAATGCATCACATCCTAAATCACTATACTGATTCATAACACCGCTTATTTACCGGAAAACTTGAAAGTTAGTATTTATGTAATAATTAATTTAACAAGGTTTTACATTAATAATTGCAAGCCATTATGACTGATTTAACAGGGACATTTCAACTTGAGTTTAATATTTTACAACCACGTTTTTACACCCAGGAACCTTGAGACACTGTGCTAAAGCTCTTTTAAGGAGTATGTAGGTGGCTCTTAAAAGAGCCTTTGGATTAAAAATGTCTGAGGCGCTCTACTTGGAGCTAGTGTACTTGGTGACAGCCTTGGTGCCCTCAGAAACTGCATGCTTGGCCAGCTCACCAGGCAGCAGAAGCCGCACGGCCGTCTGGATCTCCCGAGAGGTGATGGTGGAGCGTTTGTTGTAGTGTGCCAGGCGCGAGGCCTCGCCGGCAATGCGCTCGAAGATGTCGTTAACGAAGGAGTTCATGATGCCCATGGCCTTGGAAGAAATACCCGTGTCGGGATGCACCTGCTTCAATACCTTGTACACGTAGATAGAATAACTCTCCTTGCGGCTCTTCTTGCGCTTCTTGTCACCCTTCTTCTGTGTCTTAGTCACGGCCTTCTTGGAACCCTTCTTGGGAGCAGGAGCTGACTTAACCGGCTCCGGCATCTTACTAAAACGTCTAGACGTTGTCAGAGCAAGAAGAAAACTATAAAATGGCGGCAGAACCCTCTACTTATAGGGCCGTTATGCAAACACACGACCTCCAATTCGTTCAATTCGATTGGATCTTCTCGCAAGGGGGCGTATCCTTTTCGCTGATTGGTTAATACATGATCCCTCGTCTCATTGGTTGTCTAAGCTATGGATGTTTCCAGCCAATCAGCAAGCGGTAATTCCTCCCTGGGAAGAGATAAAAAGGGAGAAAGCCGTCGGGTCGGTTTGTTCTGTTTGTTCCTGGGCGGCTTGCGTGTTAGGTCTTTAAGTGATTGGAGAATGTCGGGTCGCGGGAAACAAGGGGGAAAAGTTCGAGCTAAAGCTAAGTCACGGTCCTCGCGGGCTGGCCTGCAGTTCCCCGTGGGCCGCGTCCACCGTCTCCTGCGAAAGGGCAACTACGCGGAACGGGTCGGCGCTGGAGCTCCTGTTTACATGGCGGCTGTATTGGAGTACCTAACGGCTGAGATCTTGGAGCTGGCGGGCAATGCGGCTCGCGACAACAAGAAGACTCGCATCATCCCGCGGCACCTGCAGCTCGCCATCCGCAACGACGAGGAGCTCAACAAGCTGCTGGGCAAGGTGACGATCGCGCAGGGTGGTGTGCTGCCCAACATCCAGGCCGTGCTGCTGCCCAAGAAGACTGAGAGTCATAAGGCTAAAAGCAAGTAAACTGAAAAAATGAAGCTGCTTAGACTTCCTTAAATACACTTTTTTAACTCAAAGGCTCTTTTCAGAGCCACCCACACGGTCAGGAAAGAGTTGCATTGCTTGGTTTATGAAAGGTTGGATGCTGTTTACTTACGCACTGAGGTAATGCCATGTTCTGTGGCAAAGCCTTCAAGTTTCATTCTCTTGATGGGGTGGTATATATGCGTTCCAGCTCTTGATTTTTTTGTACGGAAAGAACACTAATCATGCTTGAATTTTTCTGTTTTTGTTTTGTTTTGTTTTGTAGTAGATTTGTTCTTAATGTTCAATGTGCTCAATTGTCATGATTTTATGGGCTACTTATGGTGTAAAACATGGGGACTGGGGTTGCTAAAAAGCTGGGGGGAGAGTGTAAAAAGCTATGTAGCATGAAAATACTGTTCCAAACCTATATAGCTAGGAAAAATGAAGAAAGGCTTCCTTTGTTGGCCGTTGTTCTTTTAAAGTTGCAAAGCTTCCCTGTGACTTGACTTAGGAATAAAATGAAAAAAGCCTTAAGGGAAATAGCTCATTTTGTTCTAGAACCTAAATTAGATGGACCTGCACTGTAAAGCAATAATGTAGCATCTCTCTATTCAGAGGAAACTTCTTGCAATGCTGGTATATATCCTTTTTTAAGTAGAATTTTCAAATATGCCATTCTTTAATTGTTTTTCTGTGCATAACTATTGTATCAATTAACAGTGGGCAAAAGTATTTGAATTCATCTTTATTGTTGGCTCATGTATCACCCAAGAGCACAGTGTTAAAGCTCTTTAAATGCACTGCTATAAATTATGAGAAAGACTTGTCTAGCTGATTCCTCTTACTAAGGTGCTCCCAGAAACGGCACCTGATGGTCTGCAGCGCACTGCATTGAGGCCAGAATTCCCACCTGTGCAGCACTTCTGCCCTCCTTATCCCCTGTGGTAATAGAGGAAAGAAAATGCCACAAACACAGCAAGACACCCGTGCCTCTCCTCCCCACCCCCAAGCTATAACAGAGAGGTTTTTTTAAGTAGAACTGTGTCATGATCAGAGTGGGACATCATGGATAATTTGTGGAGAGAAACATAGAGGAGAGCTGTCTGGAGCATCACACTATCCTGGTATGGTAATGGTATCTCACCTAAGGATTTGTTTGTGAATAGGTACGCTTAGAGCCATAATGTTTTCATTATGTTGTTTATCCTCATTAGCTGCAGCTACTTGGCACTCCTCTTCTTGAACAATTGCAATTGTATTAAGACTATTTTAACATGCACAAATCTTCTTAATGTCTTTTCCAGAACAGATTCCTTCACCTGTGTTTCAGGTCATAGAATGGTTTGGGTCAGAAGGGAGCTTAAAGCTCATTCAGTTCCATCCCCCTGCCATGATCAGGGACAACTTCCACTAGACCAGGTTGCTCCAAGCCCTGTCCAACCCGGCCTTGAACACTGCCAGGGATGGGGCAGCCATAGCTTCTCTGGGCAACCTGTGCTAGTGCCTCACCACCCTCATAAGTAAAAAACATTTTCCTAATATCTGATTCAAATCTCTCCTCTTTTGGTTTAAAGCAATTCCCCCTTGTCCTGTCACTGCAGGCCTTGGTAAAAAGTCTCTCTCTGTTGTCTCATATTGAAAGGCTGACGTAAGGTTTCCCTAGAGCCTGCTTTTGCCAAGGGTGAACAGCTGTAACTCTCTCAGTCTTTCTTCACAGGCGAGCTCTTCCAGCCCTCTAATAATTTCTGAGGCTCTCCTCTGGACCTCCTCTAACAGGGCCATGTGCTCCTTGTGCTAGGAACCCCAGAGCTGGATGAAGTCCTCCAGGTGAGATCTCATGAGGGAAGAGTAGAAGGTGAGAAGATCCTCCGTTGACCTACTGTCTAGGGTGCTTTTTATGCAGCCCAGGATAAAATGGGCTTTCTGGACCACAATTGTGTATCTCTAGATCAAAGCACTAGAATCCCAGAGAAAGACTGTGGGGTTATCTGTGTCTAGGAATGTGATTTCTCTGTGAAAGAAAACTCCTCTACATGGAAATCAGAATTGGTACTATAGGAGAGGGCTTTACCCTTCTCTGAGTAGTGGGAGTAAGGGAGTGGGAGTGTGGAAGTAAGGCCAGAAGTTCTCCAAATTCTTCTTGTCATCTGACCACAAATATGTCATTTTATTCAGAATATAATTCCAAATATCTCTCATTTGACTATTTACCCTGCTCACCTCAGTAACTGGAGTTTCACCCTCTCTGATACTTAAGTCTACTTCTTAGCATTCTTTTTCTTCTTAGCCAGTTGTGGTTTCACCAGTTGTGAACCTTGTGCTGCCATCTCACTGGTGAAACCTCAAAGGGAAATGTTCTATAAGTCAGATGGATTATATGATAGGAGTGCTGGCAAATCTACTTGCATTAGAGACTTGCAGCTTTCAACAGGTCCTACTAGATGGAGAAATGTAGCAAAGCAAGTTTAAATAAACAAGCTTCATCTCATTTGCATATATAATAAACAGTAATAAAGAGGAAATCCATACCATAAGATGCTTTAGCTATATCACTGGGTTCCCATACACCTTCACAACTTGACAAACTTGTGACACGAAAAAAATTCCGCCCATACACCTTCAAATATTGTGGATCACAGTTACATTTAGGGATCTCAGAAGCATAAAATCGTTTGGGTTGGAAGTGGCCTTAAACATCATCTAGTAACTCAATAATGTCAGTCAATGCATCAAAAGTCTTCTTAATGCGTCGTTTAAAAGACAAAAGGCTTTTCTATCACTTTTCACCTTCACTTTGTTTTCAATGTTTTGAATAATGTACTCTATTAAAAAGAACTAACAAGACTCTAGCTTGCATATTATTATATAACAATTACAGATACGGATTTAAATTGCCATGTAAGCCCCAAGAGAAATAAAAGCAACTTTGCAGTTGTATATAATACACTGATGTCATGATTTATTTACTAATTATGTACTTTCTTGTGCAGTCATGGTTAGATATTGCCTTACTGCAACAATCAAGTGCAATCTCATCATTATAGTTTAATGACGAACTAGGGCAATTGTTCTAATTAAAGTTTATTTGAAAAGCTACAGTATTGCAAAGGTTTCCTTTCTCATTTAACTCATAGTACTATGTGTCCAAACTCATGGGGAAACTGCAGTACTTATAGTCTGGGGATTGGATCCTTAACTTTGATTCAAGTAATAATTGTCTCCAATGAACAGTAAATGCAAATTCATTAGGGATTATACTCAACAGCAAAATTTTCTTCCTGCTTTAACTGTTTTTGTCTAAGAAAACCCCCTGGTCCATGAGAGAATTGACTGTATCACTAACAGAAACACACAGGAAACAGGTCTGTGGCCCCATATAGCAACCTACAGGCAAGGCAGCTTTCTAGAAATCATGATGTTAAATTATACCAAATGTCCCACACACTCTGGGGAAAGCGGGTTGCAGGTAATAAATCTGTCAGCTCCTGCTTTTGGCATCTGCATCACCCATTTCTGCCAGGAGATTTTGGAAGATAAATTTCTAAGTCTTCCAGTGGTTATACTGCTGGAGGGAAAAGTTATACTAGGATATACCTGCACTTAGGAAGAGATATGAAGAAATTATTAAACACTTAAAGATTTTGTGTAATACCTTCAGGCTTTCTTTAGTATTCAGAAGGTTAATTGTGCCTCAGGAAACTCATCTAGACACAGTTCTTCAGGTATAAAGAACAAAGCAAACTTTGTGGAGCCAAATGTTTATTTTAAACACCAGCCTGGCAGGTCCGCTAGCGACAAGTCTTTTAGTTAGTTTATAAAGAGTTTTAATTCTTTCACCGCAGTCAAAAAGCATAGTCTAAATTAAAGATAGCTTTGGCTGCTCGTATTTTGTATGTTTGATTGGCAGGTCTTTAATTCAGTTTATTCAAAATAATGGTTTGAATGAAAATGGGATTCACAGTGATAGTTATAATTACCATACAACACCTGTACTTTTTTTTGGACACCTGTAACTTAATATATGAATATCTCAATCACATTTTCCCCTGAAGCTAGGGAATATATTCTGCCACTAAATATTCTGAAAATGTTGCTTAATTTCTGTAAATTATGTCCAGCAATGAAATTATATAAACAACGATCAAAATTTAAAATTATATCCATAATCTTTAAAAGGCAGAGATGTTTGAAATGCTCAGAATATTAATAATTTAAGAAATGGCAAGTACATAGCCATATAATTTCTATTCTGTGCAAGTAAAAATCGTAACAGTTTTATTTAAAAAATATAGTCTTGAAACTCTTTCAATGTTTATTTACTTTCTAAATATAGTCCAAAATACTGTAAGCAACACATATGCAAGTTTCGTTAGAAAACGTGTGAAATACACAGAAAAAAAAATCTGGATTCCTCATTGGAATAACACACATTTGGTTACTGATCATTTATCAGATGTCATAGAGACGTCTAGTTGGTAGCTTCGGTAATGTATTTTTTCTCTTGCTGGATCTATCTGCGCCCTCGCCACCACTTCTCCAACTCTTCCCCGGCAGCTGTTGGACAGAAGCACCTCGGCCAGTACTGCCCGTTGACCCACTCGGGGCTGAGGCTGGCTGAAAAGGGGAACGGCGCATGGTCCCTCCTCCGCTCCCTAGTAGGAGCTCGAGTTGCCTTCACAGGAGCCCCAGGTCTAAACATTACCCACCAGAGCCCCTCACCGATGATTCCCCACCCCCAAGGCCTCACTCCCTGCTACCTCTCGCACAGACCTGCAGGCTGTTCTGTGCGAACGTGAAAGCGCTGAACGCTCAGAGCCCAGCCCGCTGGGCTGCACGGAAGAGGGGGAAGCTGTTAAGAGAGAAGTGACGGGTAGACAAACAAAACACGAAGCCTCAGTGGCCGAAACGAACAAAGAGCGCGACACAAAACTAGTCCATCCGCGGGATCCCCACAAGCGGAAATGGCGATCAGCTGTTCCAGGAGGGGCGGTAGCCCTGAGCGAGGACGCGGATTGGTAGGATTTTGCCGCAGACAGAGGGAAGGGTCGGGATGGAGACGGGGCGCCGCAGTCCGAAACGCGGGGCCAAGGCTGCTGTTCCTGCCGCTGACGGAGACCCCCACCTGCCACTTAACAGTCACTTGCGCGGGGGGAGGTGGAGGAGGGAGAGGACGGGAAGGCAAAGAAGAGAAAGGATGCGCTGAGCAGGCTGAACAGGAACATAACAGCTTGACTGCGGGGCTGGAGTCCGGTCCCGGTAGAGGCAGGCAGAGCAGCCGAACTTTCCCCTGGGACCGGTGCCGGGGAAAGTGCATCAGCCGACGTCCTACGGGAAGCCCGTCCTGAGCTGCGAGGGGGCCGCTTGGGGGCGGAGGGCGGGAAATGGGGGCGGAGGCAGCGGATAAAGAACCGTCTCCGCAAGTCCCGCGTCCCACAGCCTTCCCCTCCCACATGCTCCCCCGCCGTCTCCCCGCCCCCCCCTCCCCTGCAGTCCTCAACCAGGTCGGATCCTGCGCAATATAGTGCTGCTCCGCCGGGCTGGTGGCGTTCAGCGAGCGGTTGTGAAGTGTGCAGTCATGTCTGGTAGAGGCAAAGGCGGGAAGGGGCTCGGCAAAGGTGGCGCTAAGCGTCACCGCAAAGTGCTGCGCGACAACATCCAGGGCATCACTAAGCCGGCCATCCGGCGCCTGGCTCGTCGCGGCGGCGTGAAGCGCATTTCGGGGCTCATCTACGAGGAGACACGCGGTGTGCTGAAAGTCTTTCTGGAGAACGTGATCCGCGACGCTGTCACCTACACGGAGCACGCCAAGAGGAAGACGGTGACCGCGATGGACGTGGTGTATGCTTTGAAGCGCCAAGGACGCACTCTCTACGGCTTCGGCGGTTAAGTTCCGGTTGCAAACCGTACGCTGTCAAAACAAAAAGGCTCTTTTAAGAGCCACCCACAAATTTCACAATGAGAGCTGGTTATTACTAAACTTTCAAAAGTGCAATGTTCTAGACATTTTTGTATCGTTCAAGTGCAGAATGACACGCTTGCAATATTACCATGTTTTGAATTGTGCAGTTCCAGAATTTTAAAGGTGCTAGAAAATATCTCATTCTAAAAGTCCTAGGAACACCTGAACAGTACAAAGTACCCATGTATGAATATGAGTTTTGAAAATAAAAAACGAATTTAGTGCAGTTTTTTTTATCGTTTATTTTTGTTTGGGTTTTTTTTGTTTGTTTCGTCGGTTTTGTTTTTTTTTGTTTGTTTGGGTTGTTTTTTGGTTTTGTTGTTTTTTTTGGGCTAGTGTAGGTTTTACCGCAACCACAGTAGCTGCAAAGCACTGACTGCAAATGTAGCGCCCAAGGGTTACAGGACGGAAATGCCTGTAATTGGGTTGGTATATTTTACTCCAATAGGAATGGAACTGTTACAATCCCCTAATTTGCATAACGCCCTTATAAATACGGGGGTAGGCGCCATTTTCTCTGTTGTTGAGGTACAGTGAAGATCTTGGAAAGAAACTTTTAAGGATGCCTGAACCAGCAAAATCCGCTCCTGCTCCAAAAAAGGGCTCCAAGAAAGCTGTCACCAAGACGCAGAAGAAGGGTGACAAGAAGCGAAAGAGAGCAAGGAAGGAGAGTTACTCGATCTACGTGTACAAGGTACTGAAGCAGGTGCACCCCGACACTGGCATCTCGTCCAAGGCCATGAGCATCATGAACTCCTTCGTCAACGACATCTTCGAACGCATCGCCGGCGAAGCCTCGCGCCTAGCGCACTACAACAAGCGCTCCACTATCACCTCTCGGGAGATCCAGACGGCCGTGCGGCTCCTGCTGCCTGGTGAGCTGGCTAAGCATGCAGTTTCCGAGGGCACTAAGGCTGTCACCAAGTATACCAGTTCCAAGTAAAACAGTTCTAAAGTTTAAACCAAACGGCTCTTTTAAGAGCCCCCACTCCTTTTTAAAAAGAGCTGCAATTGCCGATTTTAGTCCAAATTAGTTAATTAAATCATTAAATACATAGGTTGTATGTTGATAGATACATTAACTTTCATTTTGCGTAGATTGGAGAAATAACCAGTAGCAAAAACTATTTTGTACTACTCAAGAGTTCTTGATAATACTTTTTTAGAAAAAGATACTTTGTAGCAGCTTCTAAATTCGGAAACTGACTAAAAAACTTTCAACACCTACTCTAAAATTTTGCAATTGCACAACACAAGAATGTCTAAGCATTGTGAGCCTTCCAAAAATTATAAAGTTTAGTAATAACCAGCTCTCGTTGTGAAATTTGTGGGTGGCTCTTAAAAGAGCCTTGTTTTGATTGTGTACTGTTTGCAACCGGAACTTAACCGCCGAAGCCGTAGAGAGTGCGTCCTTGGCGCTTCAAAGCATACACCACGTCCATCGCGGTCACCGTCTTCCTCTTGGCGTGCTCCGTGTAGGTGACAGCGTCGCGGATCACGTTCTCCAGAAAGACCTTCAGCACACCGCGTGTCTCCTCGTAGATGAGCCCCGAAATGCGCTTCACGCCGCCGCGACGAGCCAGGCGCCGGATGGCCGGCTTAGTGATGCCCTGGATGTTGTCGCGCAGCACCTTGCGATGCCGCTTAGCGCCACCTTTGCCGAGGCCCTTCCCGCCCTTGCCTCTACCGGACATGACTGCACACTTCACAATCGCTCGCTGAACGCCACCAGCCCGGCGGAGCAGCACTATATTGCGCAGGATCCGACCTGGTTGAGGACTGCAGGGGAGGGGGGGGGCGGGGGGACGGCGGGGGAGTATGTGGGAGGGGAAGGCTATGGGACGCGGGAGTTGCGCAGGCGATTCCTTATCCACTACCTCCGCCCCCAAGCGGCCCCCTCGCAGCTCAGGACGGGCTTCCCGTGAGACGCTGACTGGGCCGCTTTCCTCGGCACCGGCGCTGTGGCGCGTCTGGTGGCTCTGCTGTCTCGACCGGGACTGCACTCCAGCCCCGTGCTGCCACTCGGCTCCTGCTCGAATTCACTCTGCGCAACCTTTCGCTTCTCTCCCCTCCCGTCCTTGCCCTCCCTGCTCCGCGCAAGTGGTTTTTCCGTGGCAGATCTGGGTTTCCGTCAGCGGCAGGAGCGGCAGCCCCGGCCCCGTCTCGACTCTCCCAGCTCTCTGCGGCAAAATCCTACCAATCTGCGTCCTCGCTCAGTGCTACCGCCCCGCCCAGGCTCTGGGCTCTTCATGGGCTGCTTTGTAATTTTTTTGTTGTCAGTGTTTGCCTGCACAGAGACCCTCCGCGGGTATCTTTATATAACCTCTGCCAACCTTGTCCCCCTTCGATCTACAGCTGCTTTCTGTTCATAAGTCCCTCTACATGCCGCTAAAGAGGAGGGGAAGGAAACTTCAGCTTCGTGATAAGGAGAAGAGTTCCCCCTCCCACCACTTTTTTAAAATGCAATGCAACATTTCTTTCGTGAGAACTAAAACGTAATCTTTTTTTTTTTTTTTTTCCTGGGGGGGGGGGGGGTGTGGTAGTGGTGGTTTGGGTTTTCTTGCTTCTTTTAGCACATGCACACAAACCCATTCTTACATCTGTCCTACCTTTACCTATCAAGCATATTTTTTACCATTTCGAGGAAAGCTGAAAGCTTATAGAATTCTAAGAGAACAGATGTAAAGAAACAGCATCAGTTTCAACATCATGTTCCGGGAATCCTGTCTACTGGGGAAGCAAGAGACCTGGTCTTACTCAGCTCCTAAACAGAAACAAGCCTGTTACAGCACTCCCCCACTAACGCCTGAGTTCTCTCTTTGCTAACCAGATGCCATTTAAAATAGAAACGTTACTCATTTTTAATTCTTAACGACAACGGATCAGTGTTCTATTACCATAAACATTCCTGGCTTATGGCAGACTCATTCAAACTGGCAAAGTTTACTTTCTCACACATGTAATAGTCAACTAATTTATATTGAAGTTAAACAATTTCACAATTAAAACCAAATAATTTTGGGGGGGCTCTTTTGTTCTTTCTTTGTTTTAACGTCACAAATTGTCACATATTTCTAGTGATTTTGGGACTCAAAGCATTTTTTCCATTTAATAAAGAGATTTTGAAATAAATAAGTCTTCAAGGAATGTGAAAATCAGAATCTCCTTCAAAAACTTGTCAGGGATTTTATTTTCATATGCTTTCTGGTTTAATTCATATTTAGTCTTCATATTCTGAGAACTCACAGTATTACTAAAAATTTTCACTGGTATTTTTAAATGAAGCTTCTCTGAAAAACAGGGGAAAACAAACCAAACACGTGTTTCGGAAGCAAACTTCCCACCTCTCTGACATCTTTCTTATTATAATGGTTCACACATTTTCAGGATAAGAAATTTCCTTTTTTTTTTTTCTTTTTTTTTCCTTCCTTTATTACCCCCTCCAGCATGCCTGAGAAAGTGTACCAGATACATATGTGAAAAGAAACTTGATATAGTTTTAGAAGATGTATATATTTCTACATACAACACCTTTTTCAAACATCAGGTATCAGAGTTGGGTTGGTTTGGGTTTTGGTTGGGTTGTGGGTTTTTAATTATTTAAATATCTGTTATAGTTTAGGTCTATTTCCATTTCCTTCCTCACCAGACAACCTGGTTCAAAACTCTTCAGGGTTCTATTATGAAATTGGGTAAATCTATACCATATATATATATATATACACATACACACATGGGGGTCTATCTTACAATTGGAGGTAACCACTTACCTTGGAATTGTAACTATAACATTTAGGGAAGTATCATAGTCCATTTGACAGCATCCCCACCCCTCCCCCCTATAATAAGGCTGTCTTTGCTTCTCTGCTTAGTCACTTCATAAACACCCCCAGTCAGTTTTTGGTTGAATTCCTACATTTAAATTCAAGTCATCTACAGTCAAGGGAAGGATCTGTTGGTATATGTGTGTCAGCCTCCAATCAGATAAGTCTCTTATTTTTACAAAACAAATGCAATCAACAACTCCAAAACACAAATCAGAATGTTAAGTAAAGGCGTCCGTAGGGTCCATGGATAAATGAAACAGCTATAGAAAGATATCTCAAGAAGGAGAACGGCCACAAAGCCGTCTCTTTTGCAGCAGCACACAATTGATGAAGCCCCATGGAATGTCTCAGGGAGGTTCTAGCAGTTCTGATTTATATTCCTAGGGGACATGGGTGGGGGTGCCTGTGCTGCACTTTTAGTTAAATTATTGATAAATACTACCTCTTAAATGTTACTTCTAACATGTAAAAAGTAAAAAAAAAAAAAAAATAAAACCAGCCTTCCCAAAACTGTTGAGGATACCAAGTATCAGTATATGGAAGTGTTCTTAAAATACAATGTATACAAGGGTTCATAAAATAGAGGCATTTCAAAATACACTGTAATTTGATTTTAAGGCCATTCATTTCTATGAGTTAAGCTCCGAGTCCACAAGTGCATTACAACACTGGCATACTGTGCTAAAATCCATCGGGCCATACAAAGTATTTGTTAAAAATTGCCCTCTAGAGCAATTTATTATTTCTACATGGCCTCACAGGCTGAAGCTCTTACAGGTCTGCATAGTGTATGGCTTTACTGGTCCCCTCTGATGGTATGCTTAGGATAACATACAAAAACATAGGTGCAGAGAGAAGGGAAATGGTCATAATTATCTCAAACATTTATGATATAGGGTAAGCATGCAAGGAAATGTCAGAAGATCTTCAGAAATGTGTAGTGATAAGCCAGGATTAAGGGTAAAGAGAGCAGTAAAAGGGTTACACAGATTTGAGCAGCTTTTCAAGTATTTTAAGTAAATTTAATCTCCACAGGTGCATCAGAACAGGTGGCACAGCACTACTTAGAACACCCTTTGCTGATGTATAAAGGTGGGTTAATTGTGCCCAGCACATTTTCTTCCCAGTCCTATGCTAGGAAATCAGCACAGTGCTTGGGGGTAAAAGCCTGCAAGACGGAATCAGTTCTTAAAATGAAGTTAAGCTACCACAGCCTGGAAACTGCGTAAAAAATAGCTTTTTCTCTGTGGTTAACTACTCATAGAATAGTTTGGGTTAGAAGGGACCTTCAAAGGTCACCTAGTCCAACACCCTTGCAATGAACTGAGACACCCTCAACTAGACCAGATGGCTCAGGACCACATCTCTCCTGGCCTCGAATGTCTCCTGGGATGGTGCATCCACCAACTCTGGGCTATTTGTGACAGTATTTGATCACCCTCATTGTAAAAAAAATTATTCCTCACATCCAGCCTGAATCTTCCGTCTTTCAGTCTAAAACCATTACCCCCCTATCTTATCGCAACAGGCCCTGCTATGAAGTCTGTCACCATATTTCTTATAGGCCTATTTCAAGTACTGACCTATCAACTGATGTCAAAAAAAGAAGGGGGGGGGGGGGGGGGGGGAGAGAAAGGAGGAGAATCCTCAGTAGTTAATATGTGTTGCATCAAAGCTTAATGCAAGAACTCCAAAAAGAGGGGAAAGCGTTTTTATTTCAAAGCAAAAATTATTTCACTCCCACATCCTAACATGCACACTCAAAAGACCAAGTCTGCAAGTGGGCAGGACAGTATCTTTTGCAGAGACTGACAGGATAAGGCATATTTGCTATGAGTCCTCCAGATGGTCTCCAGTGAGGAAGAAATGATGGCTACAATATGTTCATCTTTGAATGATATTCTGTATCATTCAGAAGCTAGCAGCAATTCTATTATTCTGTCTCTCCAACTTCTAACACTTCTGTGAACCATTAGAATTTACTCACCAACTGTTGTCTCCATATCCAAATGCCTTATTGGTCCAGGGCTGATTGTTATCTTCCTCTGTCTTCTCTCAGTTACTTTAACTCATGTTGTCCCTTGCTTTATGCATTGCTTTGTTTTCACAGACTGAGTGTCCCAGACAAGCTGCAGGAAGATTTGGGTTCTGCTATCTAGGTACAGTCCTCACACTCCATACTTAAAATTAT